CGCAGACGCGAACTAGTAATAAGCTATTATGGGTAAATTATTTGATTGGTTTTCTTGCACCGTTCCTCGTCCCCCGGTCCTAGCCGCCGACGCCGCGGTTTGTTGGAGGGATTTGTGGCTTACGCTTGAAGGGGAGCAACTATTTGACTATGAACGTTGAAAAAATGTTGCTTTTTCTAAGCTCGGCACGGCACGGGACGCGGTGTGAAAGCGGATTATATATTGGTCCGTTTGTTTAGTAAACGAGAATTTATTCAATGATGATTGCGCCGGGACTAATCAACGAGCCCGGCTGCAACTTTGTTTCGAAGAGTACATGGAGCTAGATTAAATGGGGTGATTACTTGTGAGATTACAGGTACTGCGGCAGAGATAAAACAAACAAGTCGACCGTTATAATCAGCTTGGCGTTAAGAAAAATAGAATCTAATGAATCAATCTATCGAAATCTTCTTTGTAAGAATGGCAAAGCATACGCTTCTTGACCGAAAAGAAACTAATCGACGCATTGCTCTAGGCACTCGGTACCCGAATTTTTCTCATGACTTCTCAGCACCAAATCCTTACCAACCTACAAAAACAGAAAACCAACCCACCATACCCGCACATGTGTGGGAACAATCGACAATGATCCTTCACGCATTCGGACATTCCCCTCACCACACCGGGGCAGAACCTTTTCAGTTACGCAGCTCGGCACCAGAACCCGGCAATTGAGACGGCGGCGGCGTTAGCCTGCAAATTGCTGCGATCGTCGATATCCGCGGGCAGTTCAGTGGGTCAATTATTTTGCATTTGCAGCTCACGTTTTGCAACCGTCGTCGTCGTCGCTCGGAGTTTGGATCTCGTTTTTCGATGTTTTTGGTTCGCAAAAAAAAAAGTCCGTACGAAGAACAAATCCTCGACGAAAACAAAAAGTGCTCACTTTGAAGCCGTCGTTAGTGATTCATCCTTGCTTGATGCTGATGCTGAGATGCACCACCTCCACCACCACCACCGTAGTCGCCGCCGCAGCTTCGGTGCAGGACTGAAGGAAGCCGAAAAATTAAATCTTTTTGATCCCGCGATGACCCCCTTCATTATCCCATAAAGCTTCTTCAGGTTTGGTTGCGAACCGGAGTCGGTTCCTGCCTTGGTTTGGGGCGTAATCGTGTTTTAAACTCCCCGGCAATCGTGATGGCCAACGGTTGATTGGGAATTCTTCGTTTTGAACTTGTTTTGATTGTGCGTCTGCTGGCTGCTGTTGGATTTATGATTTTGAGTGCATGATGCCCTGTTTTAAAGGCAGTGGTTATCAAACTTTCGTTGATTACGAACTTTGAATATTCGTTAAGGTCAATGTGACCCCAACAATGCGGAAATGGCTTTGAATGTCGAAAAAATGACCCGTAATCCATAAATATAATAATGAAAAGAAAAAAATAATACATATAACAGCAAAATAGCTAAGAGCCGTTAAACTGCGCTTAAACTCCAAATCAGACCAAACATTGTCTTAAAAACTCGAAAATAGTCTGAAGTAAAGCCAATGATCGCTTAAATAGCCATGATTTATTTTTGACGTAGATTACGTCCTACGGGAAGGTACAGGGGGTAAATCAAAAATTTAAAATTGCGACCGTCACGAAAAGGTGTTAGGTTTTAAACGCATAGAACTTTGTCATTTGAATCGATTGGAAATAATTCTACACATCTCCTTAAATAAATACTTTTCCAATTTTTGATAAAAAATTATAATATATATTATAAATTAAATTAAAAATTATAAATTATATTCATGGAAAAAAAAAAGTTTTCCCTACCCCAGTCGTCATAATCGAGTACCACTGATGTCTCGCCTCCGGTCATTTTCGCATCGGACGGCGTGGTTAGCGGATCGCTCGCAAGCGGTTAAAGGTGGAGTTTTCCCTCTCTCTCTCTCTCTCTCTCTGCCCTCGTGCAGATAACTTCCTCGCAGCGGACGGGCGTGATGAATGGATCACCTTAATAACCAGCGGTGGGGTGAAAAGAGACTCACCTCTGCAGATGTTTATGCATTAAGCTCAATCCACACCTACCCGATATCATCCGATCCGACTGGCGAACTTTTGTATTTTATATGTCTGGGATAACACCAAGGTATGTCAGAGAAAATTATAGGGAGTTTAAAAAATGAATAAATGAATAAATAAATAAATGCATACATAAATAAATAATTAAATACATAAAGAAATAATTAAACAAATATATAACGAAGTCAATACAAAATAAATAAATAAACAAATAAAATAAATAAAAAATGAAAAAAAGACAAAAAGAAAAATAAATAATATAAAACATATATTTATAAAAAATCAAAACAAAATTAATATATGAAAAATAATGAAAAAATGGGTAACTAAAAAAAATAAGTTTATTAAAAATAAAAATACACTAAATCATTGTTAAATTTATTTAAGTAAGTTAATAAATAAATAAATGAATTAATTGATAATAACTGAATCGAGAAAATAAAAATATT